AACTGCAGCTTAGCAGTCAGCTGAAGTGGCCTTGCAGTACTGCACCCTAACCACTGCGCCACCTCGGCTCTTGTTTGGATATCCAACTTGGATATCCTACTTGGGTAGTGGAAAGTCTGCAAGGAAATAAGTAAGCTCAGAGAATTTGCGCCAATTGCGATCCGGCCTATTTAAAAGGTTAACTGGGCAACATTTATGGGGTAGGACTTCCATTACAAAACGAAACACAGTTTTTTAAAGGAGAACACTTCTTGTTTTCTCACGGACACTCACAAACCCCCACTGCATTTCAGAAACTGACATAATTGTAATGACCCAGCCACAAATTTGTACGATCTTAACTACACACTGCCAAGCTTTGGAAGTTTATCAATAGGAAGCGTGAGTTATCTCATTTACACCCAGAATTTAAGCCGAGATCCCAGAAAGAGGTTTGCTCTTCTAAGATCTCAGCTTAGCCAGTTCCATTTCCCTCACATTCCACCCCCAAAATTTAGCCCACAGAATTCTGCAAATAGGCGAGAGGCCGTGCTTAGAATGGCTTTCAAGAAGGCCCCTTCCCAGCGGTGACATCAACTCAAGATATACGTCAACTTTTAAGAAACCAACGTCGTTGGCACGGCTGAAGGATGGGTTGCAAAGAATCACCTTCTAGGTTGGGAAAGGGATGGAAGAAGTATTATGCAGACCGCTTGAGCAAAAGAGCAACTTTGGCTGAATCAATGCTGTTTCCCCCCCATTGTGACCGATTCCTCTTGCCTGCCCAAATGCCTGCACCGCCTTGGACATCCCCCAAAGCGCGAGACCCTTGCCCTCCTGGGAACGAAGCTGCAGGTGGCCACCTTCTCAGCCCAAAGAAAACGGAGGAGGGCAGGATGTCCTGGCTTTATGATCACAGGAGACAAGAGAAGGCTCTCCTGACAGAGAATATTCAGATCCCTGGAAATCCAGGCTGCCCGTGGCCACACCAGCTGCCTCACTTACTGGGAGTGCTGGGAGAGGAAGAACGAGGCTGCCCACAAACTGGGTGCAAACTGCACGGAGGGCCTCCAACCGTGTTTCCTCCTCTTGCTGCCCACAAGCACCGGCCGCAAACAGCTTGGCCGTTGCTGTTGATACGCTGAATGCCCCGTGCACAACGGACGCCGAGCACTTAAGTAACCCAGCGTGTTTTATGGCTGTGATTTCCTCTCCGAGGGGTCTCATTTTCTCCTGCTAAGCTATGTAGGCCCAGGTATGAAAGGGGTCTCTTTAGTGAACGGGAGGGGCAGCGCCAGGCCAACCGGACCGAAGTTCCTCCCAATTTGCTTCCGCAGCATTTGTGCTGTAAAAGCAAAGGGCTGATGGATGGTTACCGAGTGGGCTCAGCATGCCTGTTAATTGTGGCAAATTTAGATTTAAGGCTCCTTCTCTCACACAGAGGTTTTAACGGCTCCTGTTGCAAATGAATGTTCCAAACTGCCCTTCTGGGGCACGTGCGCCTCCCCCCCTCCCTCCCCTCCTGGGCTGCAGGGCCATCCATCAACAACGGAGCAAGGGCACGGCCAGGAGGGATGCTCAGAGCATGGCGCAGCAGCCTCCTTCCCCCCCCCCCTGCGGAAACACTCCGGTCTCCCCATCCCCTTCGCCTCTGGACTGCACTGCAGTTGCCACCAAAGGCCTCTCTTCTGCCCCCCCCAGCAAAATCTGCCTGGCACCATGGAAGCCGGTGGCAAATCCAACTTTCCAGGAGAGGCTGCAGCTGAGACCGGAAGGACTTCTCGCCACCTCAGAATCCGGAGAATGGAGGGGCCGAGACACCCCCCCTCCACAACTGCAGCCCTGCCGTTTTTCCTCCCGGTGTGACCCAAACTGCTTCACCCGCTCAGCACTGACTCCTCCCCCCCCCAAGGAAAGAAGGGGCAGCTGTGCTTCAGGCCAGGCCAAATCTCTATGTCCCCCTTCCTCTAATGGGGACAGACCCCCGATTCTGCCCTGACAGCTCTTGGGAAGCCCTGGAGAAACTCCAGGAGGGG